TACACGGAGCAAATTGAATATCACTCATATCATTAAGTTTTATATTATATTGTTCATATCGTTTTTTTATCAAGATCTGATATATTAAGATTAAATTCGAACAGAGCAATAATTTTTCTATTCATATTAATTGCTACCATTCGAAATTTATCTTTCTGATTAATTTCTTCACAAAATTGTTGAGCACATTGTAAATCATAACTTGGATAAGTAGCAAATCGTTGTGTTGTCTTAGATAAATTTTCCAAGAATTTTAATAGTACTAAAACATCATCGTATAATAAAGGTCGAAAAATGATTTGTTCCGAACCATCTTTCGTGTTTATATTTAAATGATGAGTAATTAAACTTGGATTTTGTACAATCTGATCATGTGTCAATAGATTCAGTTGTTCCATTTGTTTTATCAGAAATTTTGTGTAGATACAATTGTTTTTTTTAAATAAGTCACTATTAAGATATTATATTATGAAAGTTTAAGGTTTTTATCTCTTTCGAAATGACACGTGTTCTGTATCTTTGCATTCTGTGTAGGTATATACAGAGGCTTAGTGAAACAGTAGTGATACGTAAGCTGAGTAATTATATTTCGTTTTTCTTTTTTGATGTGTGTTGTTATAAAAGATTGTTGATCGAGATATATCAAGTGACATTTAACAAGATATTCAATCTTAAATTTATATGTATTTGCATTTTTTAATAATCAACTATAATTTAAAAATACATTCAAATTCTAAACATAATAAAATAAACTGGAAGAGTAAGATCTATATGTACGTACCCTCAAGAAATAGTAGATATATCTGTGACAACAACATTTTATCGACACAAAAATAATAAATATGTTGTGGCGTCATCTAAACGATGACAAGCTTCCAATGAGACTAGCCAGATTATATCTACTTAGCCATGGAATTTCAGAATCGGTTTTGTACTTTTCTCAGATGTAAACATTCAGCAGAGTTTATTTTTCGAAATTATCAAGTATTTTTCATACAACTGTATAGTCATTACTATTCACATAATTCGTATTTATTCAATCCGTTTCGTTTTGATACCAATTAACGATTCATATTTTAAGTTATCTAATCAGTAAATAGTATTATTAACATACCTAAGTTATCTCATCATATTCAGTTGTGAAAACGTTCTTTTTGAAATACAAATTACAATACAGAAGTTTATTTATAAATATTTTTTCATATCAAGAATAGAAATAATCAATAAGATAAAGATTTCTTTCAACATTGAATGATAAATCATTAGGATTTCTTAATTAACATGGTTCAGTTCTTTTTCTATTATTGCTGGTACCTATTATTGTCTCATCAGAAACATGAATAATACGATGATTGATTCAATAAACATTCCATATAGGTAAGAGAATGGATTTAACTGACTATCATATTCATGTCCTCTAGCAATATAGCAAGTCGATATTGTTTTGTCATTTAATGATGTTTTGGTATGATTTGTTCTATTAAGAATTGAATAGAAGTCATTCTAAATCAAACGAAATGTGACAATAATGAGTTCATTAAAAAAGTTGCCAGAGGGAAAAAGAAATATTTTTTGTATGAAAGTTATTTAGATTAATTCGCAAAGAGTATTTTTGTTTGTTTTGAAGAAGTCCGAAAAGACGAGACAAACAATTTAGTAATTTGTCTAAACAAAATACGAAAAACAAATAGTTTTTATAAGAATAATGCGACAATGAAAACTTCTCAAAGTTTGATTATTGTTGTAAAATGACCAAAACAAATTTGAAGCCATACTAATCATTGATCAATATCTTTAGCCACATTCGTATAAGTATCCTAATTAAATATTGGAAAATATATAGAATATTACAATATATGTCAGGCTTATTGACAAGAGTTTTAGATTTATCTTTTCACAAAACTCTATCTTCTATAGTTAGTTTGTCGATTGTTGTCGCATACCCTACATATATATGTAATACTCGAAAGTAATCTCTCAGGAAAGCATAGTGTGGATGAGGGCAATACTCTCTAGGAAGCTGAGTAAATGATTAGTTGAATTGAACTTTCGAATTTGACATTACTGGCCGAATTAAGAACAGTATAACTAAAACTCTTCTTTCCGAGATGAACAACAATACAATCGATATACTATCAGCAATAAATTGAGAAAAAATATTTCTTTTTAATTTATTAAACAGTGATGATTTTTAATTATCTAAAAAAATCCATGGATATTAGATTTAATCAATGTCTGTCAGTTATTTCAAACCATTTGGACAGTTGACCCGAATAATTGTATCGAGAAAGAATGTGGATGTTTTGTACGAATATAATTTAATAAGATTATTTTATTTCGCTGGAAAGAATTGATTATTTGTTGATCGCTATAATGAACAGGATAAAATAAATGTGAAGGATATATTCGGAAAAAGCTGTATTGTTTTTGCATAGTCAATAAATCGATATAGTCTGTTATTAGCTTAGGTCCAGTTGAAATCCACGAAGGAACATTATTATCTTTGTATTCAGAATAGTGAGGTTCTGTCACTAAATATTCAGTTACCAGTCGAAAGAGAATTTCAGAATTTGGAATTGAACCCAAAATACTATAACCAATTAATTTTCCACGTTGATTTTCACTTTCATATGCTGCAAAATTGGTAAAAACTTCTCCAGCATCGTCATGTATTTTGTTTATGCTCGTACTTTTGTTAATTACGTATAAATAAGGTGGTATAGACAATAGAGGATAAAAAGATTTCATACAATAAGTGTCAGCATCTGCATAAATACCTCCAAATATGAATAGAACAAAGATTCGAAATAGGTCAGTTAACATCAATAAAAGTCTTTTATTAATTGAATTTTGAGAAGATAGAGATTGTATCGATTGTTTTAACTGGAACTTTTTATATATTATATTTGCAAGTTTCGTATACTTTTGTTTCTCTGAAATATTTATCGTACCATAAAAGTTTTTGTCTTTTTCAGATGCATTATGAAACGTACGAAGATGCTTAATAATAAATTGTTTTAAATATTGTGCTGGTGAATTATTATTATCAGAACTAGTAGAAAAAATAATTGGTTTGTTTCCAGTAGAATTAAACATAAATAATTCTTCTAGATCCGTATTATTCCATAGCTTATACTGCCAATGGACATTATGCATCTTATCACCGATAAGTTCAGTAGTCATACCACTATGTAATACTTTACAACTATTGATTTCAGATAAAGGAAAACCAGTTTTGCCTGTTACTTTTACCCAAATTTGATGAAATAAAGGTGGTAATATAGTAACCTTGTTGTATGTACTATATTTTATAATTTGAGTAGCGTTATGCATGACTACATCGTCCAGAATTAGTTTTTGAAAGTCAGTTTTATTATTATATGGAATCACTCGACTATTATTCATGATTGAATGCCATAAGTGTCTTTGAATAAAATAGATTAGTATAATGAGAATCATCACCTTAGATGTTTGACGAATAAAATTTACCATAATATAGATGTTCTTGAGATTTTTTGTCGTTGTCGATTCAAGATAATGCACAAAAGGCTATCACTAAAGAAAGATTTTAAAATGCAAAGTCATGAATGAAGGATATTCTAGAATGAAAAGAGAAGATATATACACCTAAAATATCTTATGGGTGTGGATGTTCTTCATCCACATGCTCAACCAGCCACATCCAAAACCATCCATCTACATTCGCACTCATACTCGGAAGATTGATGAAACTCGATCGGTGGGAATTAGACCTCTTATGTTCAATGCCGATCGAGCTCCTAGAATTGGATGCAAATGTTTCTACTGATGGAACTGGTTCCGTAATGTTTATCATCACGGAATAGGAGTATTCTCATTAATAAAACAAATATTTCTTATATAGTTATATATTCATATTCTTCATTTGAATTCTTTTAATCAATGCGACAGATGATACATATAGCTGGAATATAAAAGAATATATTTTTCTTCAATATTTTAGATTTCTATGATCAGTGCGACAAATGGTGCATGTAACTGGAATATAAAACAATATATTTTTCTTTGTTATTTCAGATTCCTATAATGAATACTACATAGATTTTCTCTTAACACGCTATTTCAGACTGAAATTTTTCGTGGACGCTTACACGAAAAATGATTTTTTTCCTTTCAATTAAGATAATAGATTTCATATCTAATGAAAAATTGCACTATTTTTTGTTATTTAATCAATTATAGAAATAAAACTAGACGTCCACTTGAAATAAGTTCAAGTACGAGAAAGGCGGCTGACTGCAGAAGTGTAACCAACCTCATAAACGCGGAAAGTTGAACCATTTAAAATTTTATTTTATTTTATTCTCAAAATCGATTAATTAAACTCAGATAAACAAGTCATCGAATAATTACTTTTCATGGAGTAGACTCTATCATGATGAATTTAAGTCACAAAAAAACGATAATTAAAATGTATATGCATATAGTATCTTATATATCAATGGTCATATAATACTGAGTCATAGATAGCCGTATAAGGAAATCACCATGTGTTAATTAATTTTTTTTTGAAACTATGTATCTCCCGCACGGAACCGAATTTCAAAAAACGGTTTTCAGATGTGCACTCAGCACGTTCTCACGAATATGACAAGCTTTTTTCCGATTGAAAATGTTGCTCAGGTGCTAAGAACGAGTGGCAGAATTGAATCGTGACTCATCTGTCGAGAAAAAGAAGAAGAAGAAGAATATCAAAAGCAATAAGTCGACTGTTGCACATACGTGCAGTCAGCCGCCTTAAACATAGGATAAAAAAACTAGATTATTAGATCTAAAGTGATGAGATAAATTCAAATGTTTATTAGAAAAATGGTAATTAAATTGATGAGATTGTAAAATATTACTACATTCCTTTGTGTGAAAATTATCTCAAAATGACTAGATCAGTTTTTAGTTTGTGAATATCTGATTATCTTTTTTTTTTTTTTATTTGCGCATAAACTGACGACCAGAAGGTCCTTACAGTACATAAAATAATAGAAAGAATGAAAAGATAAAAACTAACAAGAACAACTAGAGAGAAAAAAAAAAAACATAAACACATGAACAAATGAAAAACGACAGAGATAACAACTAACTAGTATACAAAAAACGATTCAGGAAAAAGACGGAGGAGTTGAACCTCCTCCATATCATATGAAGGTAAAGAAGAAAGAGAAGAATTAGAAGAAATCCAATCCATACATCTTTCCAATACTGAAATGTTATCAACAAATCTTTTAGAAATATGTAAGCATCTAATAGAATACTCTCTCTCCACCCAAGACTGACGAAACCTATTCAATGAAGCATTTTCAAAAAGCATTTCACCATCTATAGAATCAGCTAGAGCACATAAATATTTATTCCAATAACGATAACATCTATCATCAAGTGATGACTCATCAAACAAATACGCAAAAAGAAAATCCTTCCAACCGAGACAAAATAAAACACGTTTAAGACAAGTGAAATAAAAATGACTCAGATGAGTACGTTGAAGATCTGTAAGAAGAGGAAACACAGGATATAACCATGTAAACAATGGTAAAACATAAGAAGAAAATAAAGCTCTTCTAAGAACCCTAGATGTTTTACCAAAAAATCGAAAAGAATTAATGAGACATAATCTTTGTCTAATTTTCAACATAGACATATGGATTAGTTTGCCCCATCCTAACCTAGGAGTAATATAATATCCAAGATATTTAAACTCTTTTGTCCACTTAATTGTATGACCACCAAGTATAATATCAAATTGAGGAGAAAAAGGAGCACGTGTACTCCATAAAGCTTCAGTTTTAGTATAGTTTATCGGCTGAAGTGTAAGAATACAATAGTATTCAAGTTGATCACAGAATAACTTGAGTCTTTTCTCTATATCTATACATTGAATAGAAAACTTCAAGCCTATCTGACCAGCAACAACAGCTGCCAAGTCGTCTGCAAACAGATGCGACGACGACCACGAAAGAAAAGCAGGCATATCAGCATGATATGATATAAAAACAGTAGGAGTAAGGGAACTTCCTTGGGGACCACCTTTTTCTATCCCAAACCATCTAGATTTTACACTATTAATTTCAATAAATCCTCTACGATTCTCAAGCCAAGCTCTGATCCAATTAGTGAATGATGGTGGAATGCCCATTTTACGAAATTTCCCAACACAACCTTCATGCCATAACATATCAAACGCACTTTTGAAATCAACAAATAACGTAACCGTTGGAGAACTATTAGACATCAGACTATAGATATTATCAAAAAATAACAACAATCTTGTCTGCAACCTAAATCCTTCACGGAACCCCGATTGATTGTTAGGAAGTAAACCTCTTCTATAAAGAACATCACGAAATCTAGATAGAAACAATTTTTCACCAACTTTTTGAAAACAATCTAATAAAGATATAGGACGAGTTAATGCAGGTGAACAAATTGAATCTTTTTTAGCTAAAAGTAAAATTCTAGTATCTTTCCATGCAACAGGAAGAATAGCTGAAGAAAAAGAAAGATTATAAAGATGAAGAAGAAATGACCAATGCGATGAATGTAAGAAATTGAACATATAATTACTCAAACCATGTGCATCTAAAGATTTCTTTTTTTTTAAACTATCAACCTCCTGTAATAATTCATCTAAAGATACTTCAGGAATAGGATCATCTTTATTATCAAAATCTAGCAATGGTGCATCAACATAAGGATGTGGTCTAACTATATTATCAGATCTTCTGAAAAAATCTTCATAAAAATCAGCAGCTATATCACACATTCCAATAGAATCATTCACAATTGCACCTGAAGAAACAATAAAACCATTAAGAGAGGACGAAGTTGGTTTAATAAAACGTTTAGCCTTTGACCAAAAAGAGACAGATATAGGAGATCTTGTATGTCTTAGTTGCAGAGCATAAGACAGTTGAGAGGATAAAAAGAATTTAAGTTCATTTTTAATAATTTTCCGTAAGTAACATACTTCTCGTTTTAAATCTAAGCTTTTAGTTCTCTTCTGACGAAAAGAAAGAGCTCGTACATAAGACATAGAGCAACGTATATAAGGTGGAATAGCAATTCTATATTTGCTCAACGGAAAAATTACTGTACAACGGGCTGTAAGAAGACTAAGAAATTGAATATAATCATTATAGGAAACATCAACATTTTCAAAACACCAACACTTTTCCCAAAATTGAAATGTATATTCTGTAAATAAACTATAAACTTTCCAATGAATTGATTTACCGTTAACCTGTTTCTTACATTTCATAGGTAGAACTGAAATTACTGGACTATGGTCACTAGTAGTTTTCATTTTATGCGTTTGAATATCAATTCCATTAATATTTGAAAAAGCATAATCAATCTTTCTATCAGATCTAAGAGAAGTAGGATCATCAGGTACAAAAGGAGATAAAAACAATGAGTCAGCCCAATCCAAAAAATTGTCAGCTATAACACCATCTTGCTCTAAATCTACATTGAAATCTCCATATACAACACTTTTATCATTAACAAAAGGAGATAGATCCTCCCAACTCCATGAACGACTATCAGGCGCATATACACCTATTATTCTGAGATCTTCCTCTAACTCAACATCAATGACACATACATTAGGTAACTTACATTCTACTCTTTTTACCATAATTCCATTCCGAACCAAAATCAAAATACCACCATTACTGTTTTCACCAGATTGTTGAAACATTTTAAAGTCACAAAACATTTGTCTATAATCATATAAATCAATGCATCCAGTTTCTAAAAGTACGATAACATCAGTATTAAAAGATGAAATAAGAAGCAAAACTTCTTGATAACGTATATCTAAACCACGCACATTGAACATAAGAATATTTAAAGGAGAAAAAATCGAAGATGAATCAACACACACGTATTTTTTCCAAGTCGAAAAACATGAAGATAAAAGAGAAGAACTTTCCCACTCTGAGAGAATCAAACAAAACATATTAAAATCAAAATTAGAAAGATTCAACTCAGCTCTACGTAAAAACAAATCTCTTTTATTACAATTTAAAAATGAGGAACAACTAAAAAAGGTAAAGCAATAGGTGAAAGATTCATTATATGAAGCTTTTACCATCCATCGCATCGGACATTTGATTACGAAAACGATCAATTTTACTTTTTAAATCAGGATCAACAGTTTTACCACCTCTTCCCACATTCTTAGTATCAATAAATTTTAGAATATCATCTAACATAGGAAATAAAAATTGTTTAAAAATACCATCATTTGATTTCATCAATTTGTCCAAATCATTCACCTTTTCATTCAATACCATTACATCTTGATCCATTTTATTATTAATAGATTTAAGATCATCAATTTCATTATTAATTCTTTTATCATTTTCATTTTTTTCAATCATAAATTGTTGAAAACCTTGATTTGTAACACACAATTTACTTAAAGTTTCATTAACCTGAGAAAGACCTGATATAAGAGTATTTAATTTTAAATCCATTGGATTACTAGATGGTGCCCAAGGAGCTGCTGCACGAGGAAAATCGTTTTTAATATGTTGAGATTTGTTATTATTAGCTATATCAGCTGCAATAGACGAAGAATTTGAAGTAACATTATTATTGATGTTCATCAATTTTTTTGTAAGATCAGCACGAAAGGTTTTAACAGCAGGGCATTTCATAGAGTTAGATAGATGATCACCATTGCAATGTTTACATTTAATAATAGATGAACAATGATGCATTTTTAAATCTTTAAAAGATTGACCACAGGATTTACAAGTTTCATCTTGTTCAGTACATCGACGACGGAAATGTCCTATTGAACAACATTTTGAACATATTAAAACATTCACAGGAGCAATATATTCTTCAATTTCATAACA